TGCACAGGAGTTACTCCTGGCTCTGCACTCAGGAATTATCCCTGGTGGTGCTCAGGGGACCTTATGGGATGCTGGGAATCGAACCCAGGTTGGCCTCATGCAAAGCAAATGGCCTACCCCCTGTGCTATCGCTCCAGCCCCAATTATAAACATTTAAAGAGCATTGCAGTGTTTTTTCTTCTTTTCTGGAGGTTTTGGGACCACACTTGGTGGTGCTCAGGGCTTACTCCTGGCTGTGCACTCAGGGATCTCTCCTGGTAGGCCAGGAGAGTACTACCATATGTAGTACCAGCATTGAACCCGCCTGCAAAGAAAGGACCCTACCCACAGTACTATTGGTCTGGCTCTAGCAGTATTATTTTTCTAAATTTATAAACACTGTGTATCAAATATTTCATCAAAATCATATATAATTATAGACAAAATTTTAAATGGGTTACTTTTGATTTTTTGTTTGTTTATTGGGTCATACCTGGTGATGCTCAAGAGTTAGTCCCACCTCTGCACTCAGGAATTAGTCCTGGCAGTGCTCAGGGTACAATGTGGGATGCCAGGGATAGAACCCAGGTTGGCCGCATGCAAAGCAAAAGTTCTACCCACTGTAGTATCACTCTGGCTCGTGAATGATTTTTTTTTTTTTTTTTTTTTTTTTTGCTTTTTGGGTCACACCCGGCAATGCACAGGGGTTATTCCTGGCTCTGCACTCAGGAATTACTCCTGGCGGCGCTCAGGGGACCATATAGGATGCTGGGAATCGAACTCAGGTCGGCCGCATGCAAGGCAAACGCCCTACCCACTGTGCTATTGCTCCAGCCCCTCCGTGAATGATTTTTGTTGTTTTTCAAAAATAGAGCACAAAACACACTAATGTGTATGTACACGCCTGGGCAAACAATTGTTTAAATCACTGTACATGATTATGTAACAGTAAAATTCAGGTCATGTTAGTCCTTAGCTCAACATACCTGAGTAGTCTTACTTGGTTCATGTAAATGGGTAAAAGGAAATGGGTACGAGCTCAAAGACTGTTCTAAATACTTGTGTTTATCAAAAATTGCAAAAAACCATTTCCTTAGACTTTTCAGTATATTATGAGCATATTTGAGTGGAGCTGTTGCAGAAGCACAGGGCTGAGGGCGTACTTTAAATGTCAGGTGTACAGGGAAACTGTTCAGCCCCTGGCACCACATGGTCGCCTAAACCCTAGGCTGAGGAGTAGCCCCTGACTACGAGTAGGTGTGGGTCAAAAAAAAAATAACCTGGAAATGGTCAACTCTTTTCAAAAATGACTGGGTGAAACAATTTCAATAGTATTATGGTGCCTCAATTTTTTAAAAAAATCATGCATTTTTGAGGTATTGGGTTTATAATACTGTTAATTATACTTTTATGCATACATGATTCCAATGCCACACCCATCCCCAGAGGGCTGGCTTCCCTTCCCCAGGGACCCAGTAGCACCCTGCAGCCACCATTCCTTCTCAGGTAAGCTCAGTTCTGTAGACAAAAATCTCTAGTTGTGGTGACTTGTTCCCTTACTGTTGCTTCATATTCCATATACGGGAGATCTTCCGATTAAAAAAGTATGTATGTTTAGAGATAAGGCATGAAAAAGTTGTTACTGATCCATTTCATGAACATGAAAAACCAAGAAAGGATGTTAATGAATGTTTTCATAAAGGGCTTTTCTGCTTGAAATATTCTTTTATTTAATGTTTCATTGCAACAGTTTTTCCTATGTTGCCAACTTTTTCTTTTGTGGACTAAAGTATCTTGATTTTGCTCTTTTGCATTTAGAACACTGACCTGCAATAAAAATTCTTTATTGTGTTTGGGTTTTATTTTAATATTTGTGCAGTATGGAGGAGAAAGGAAGTAACGTGGCAGAGAGGAAAGAGAACTTGGGGTTTCACAAGAAATAATTTTCATTTTAGATATATCCCACCATAGACCAGCTGGATTTTTTAACTGAATTAGTATGTGTAAATATTTTCCTTTCATGAACTACTATTTCACTGGTTAATAAAATCAGCAGTCCTTGATTAATTTGAAATCAGATCATATTACAAGCAAAAAATATTTAATCAAAAAATTCTTCCAGTTTGGGATCAGAGCCAGTATGTAAAGGTTAAGGCACTTGTCTGTGGCAACTATGGCAACCCCAGTTCCATTCCTGACTCCACAGGTTCCCTGAGCATCCCTAGGGAACTGAAGCAACAGCTTAGTTAGCTAAGAACTGCAAGGAAGGGCCCAGAGGCCTCCCTCAAAATATTACAAGACATTTCTCCACTTAAAAAAAAAGGTTTGGCTACGCTTTATTATCCAATGTCTTCGCGATAGAACCATCAAAACCCATGTGCTGCCACACGTTATTTTGATTAATGGCAGATGAGCATAATGGTTAGGAACAAAGATGACAAAGCTGACAGTCTTTAGACTTGAAACCCGGTTTTGTTCTAGACCAACATATGTGGTCTATACAAGTACCTTATGATGTAAAACTCCTCAATGCTAATAAATGAAAAAACGTCAACATAAAATAAACTTTTCTGCCTATTACCATTGCCTTTTATTGTAGTACAGAAAAAAACACAGGAAAAAAAGTATGCGATGTTGAGATCCTTTATTTTTTGTGTGTGAAATAGTTACCATGAGTCTATAGAAGGGTAGGATTTCAATTAAAAGAAGTGTTTCCACAAAACTCTGGGAGCTCAGTTGTATGTCATGTAGCGGGGAGTAGCACTGAACTTTGCATAGGACTTAATGACCTTATTTACAGCTTCCAAGAAATCCTTCTCAGTGGCGATTTTTCGCCGTGCTCTGATGGCAAACATACCAGCTTCTGTGCAGACACTTCTTATTTCAGCACCTTTCAAAACAAAAAACGATAGGCTTAATGAAGGCAACCTAAGCAGAAAGAACAGCAAGTACCAGCAAGGCCTTCCAACCTACCAGTGCTGTTTGGACAGAGCCGTGCCAACAGTTCAAATCTGATATCTCTTTCAACACTCATTGAGCGAGCATGAATCTTAAAAATGTGAGTCCGACCCTAAAAATAAAAGAAATGACAAATATTAAAGTGGAAAAACATCACAGGAGAAGAGAAAGCCCAAGCATCCCTTTTCGTAAGCGAGTGAGTGGTTTTCCTCACCTCTAGATCGGGTAAGCTAAATTCAATCTTTCTGTCCAGTCTCCCTGGCCTCATCAGTGCTGGATCCAGAGTGTCGGGTCTGTTAGTGGCCATCAGAACCTTAATGTTGCCTCGAGGATCAAACCCATCCAGCTGATTAATCAATTCCAACATAGTTCTTTGCACTTCATTGTCACCTCCAGCACCATCATCAAAACGAGCGCCTGCGAAGGAAAGATGAACTCTTCATCTCCACTTTGAGTAACACTATGTGGAACTTGAAAATACTGTAAATGTCATCTGTGATATGAACATGTCTTAGCAAATCCTAAGAGAATAGACTATTTTTAGTCCATTAACTAATTACAAAGAACATCTTTGCTTCCAAAAGGACTTGTCATACACAGATCTACTTAACATACTTTAAAATTCTTTTTCATTTTAATGAGTTGTTTTTTTTTTAAATCAGTCAAGAAAACCTCCATTAAGAAAAAAAAAACCTCCATTGGTTGGCATAATATATACCTGTACTAGATAAGAGAATACATGCACACTTTAGCATTATAATGTGTTTGATTGCATGGAAAAAAAATCACACTATTAAAAATTTCCCGAAACTGTCCTTTAAAACATAGGTACAACAGAGTAGAACTATAACAGCTTACTGTTACACTGCTTTGTGTAAATCAGAGCAGTGTTCGTAACTTTACACTGTGGACCAGCCATGGCCTGTACATGGGACCATGGTCCAGCATTTATAACCATAGCGGTAAATCAGTGGTTTTTCAACTTTCTGTACCTGTGGATTGGCACTGGCCTGCTGACCCACTAGTGGCTGAGGACCACTGGATGTAGTTCTCTATAGTCATGTCAGTCTCTCATTTCAAAAACAGTTCTTAGCACAAAAAACTTCCAAATGTGTATTTTGACTTCTAATTATGTAAATAAATACATAATGTGCTAATGTATTAGACATATTATAAACCACAAATGTGAAATAAAAATGAGATTAGACATAAAGAAAAAGTCAAGGATTTTCTCATGTACACACAATCCACCAGGAAAACCACAGTTTCAGAACATCCTGACAGCCAAAGTCTTACACCAATGCTATAAAAATAACTTCAGGTTGAGAGAGATAGTACGGGGCTGGCCGCACGACTCCATACCCAGCACCACATCTGACCCTTCCAGTATCACCAGGCATGATCCCTGAGTGGAGAGACAAGAGTAAGCTCTGACCACTGGTAGCTGTGGTCCAAAAATCAAAAGGAAAAAATTTAAAAAACTAATTTAAAACTTCAGTCACGGTGCTGGAGCAATAGCACAGTTGGTAGGGCATTTGCCTTGCACGCGGCCAACCCAGGTTCGATTCCCAGCATCCCATATGGCCCCCTGAGCACCACCAGGAATAATTCTTGAGTGCATGAAGCAGGAAAAACCCCTGTGCATTGCCAGGTGTGACCCAAAAAGCAGAAAAAAAAAAAAACAACAAAAAACCCACAAACTTCAGTCACACTGTATCATTGTATCATGGTCAGTCTGTGGCCTGTGCAGATACTAATAACACAATGTTCAATTCCAACAATAACTAGTCTAAAATCAAAACTCTAAGTGTCCTCCCCAAACAATGTCATAGGATCCATTGTATTTTCAAGTTATTTTTGTCACTAAATTCATTAAATGACAACTGTTTTAAGGATTTATTGGCTTTAAGGATTATTACTGTCTTTTAGTTTTTGGCTTGGGACCCACATCCAACAGTGCACAGGGAGCCATACACAGTGTGGGGACTCAAATGGGGTCAGTCACATGCAAGTGTTTTACCCTCTGTACCATCTCTCCAGCCCCTCTGAAGGATTTTCTGAAAAACTGTCTGAAGGAGACTGGCAATATTATTTTTCATTTATACTGCTAATCAACCTTCAACTATTATGTAGCATATGACAAACAACATTGCTCAGAAAAAGAAAGCAAGTCAATGGAATGTGCACTCTGAAGATCATTACTGCTACCGGTCATACCCATAGCCAAGGTCCATAGATTAGTTTTCAAAGTCTCACATTAATTTTAACTTTAAAAAAAAGGACATAAAATGAAAATGAATTATCACTGCCTTCATAATATAAGCAAGCTGAAGCTCATAGTTAAAATAATATGACTAGGGGTCAGAGAGATAGGACAACAGGTAAGATCCTGGTGCCTTAAACCCAGCTGACCCGGGTTCAATCCCCAACACCCCATATGGTTTTCTCTAGCCTGCCAGGAATAAGCCCTGAGCACTGACAGGCATGGCCTAAAAATAAAACAAGAAACAAAATAAACTAAATAGGTTGCATCGAGGAAACCAAACCTCATAAAATCTATGAAGTTACCAATAATATGTAGATTTTATGAGATAGCACTACTAATGAAACCCTCTCATGATGCTTTTCTTTTTTTAATGCAGAGCCAGGAATTAGACCCAGAGCCTCACATGTGTGGTATGTGCTATATTGCTGTCACCCCCAGCTCTGCAGGTCGACCTCCTTCTCCTGCCCCCCAGCTTCCTCACCACACTAAGTGAAGCCACATCCCAATTACAGACTTGTTCAAAGTGTGAAAATAAAAATCAGATGGATATTAGTTACATACAAAATGAAATAAATAGCAATGAAATGAATTTATTTTTTTCCTTAAATGTCATATAAAAACATTTGGAATTTAAATTTCATGTAAGATTACAAAATTATGTATAGGAGAACTTATACATAGCACTTTCTAACTCAGATGAAATTCATTCAAAGTAGTTCTCTAAACCATTCATACCTCCAATAGCATCGATTTCATCAAAAAAGATAAGGCAGGCTTTTTTTGTTCTGGCCATTTCAAAGAGCTCACGAACCATTCGAGCCCCCTAGTAAGAAAAGAATTTATAGATTTAGTTTTTTTCAAATATAACATACTTCAAACTTCAATATTTTTAACAGTATTCTCAGCCTAAATTTTTTCAAGGAATGAAGTTTGAAAGACAAATTCATTAAATCTTATTCCCAGTATTAAATAATTTCATGATTCTATGCTTACTAAATAGTTGCTATCTTTAAGATCAGAGAAATTGAAATGACCCTAATAGATAAAATATAAGCATCATTCCAAACAGTGGAACTTCAGGACATAAAATCCATCTAACCAGGGGCTAAAGCAATAGCATAGCAAGGAGCATGGTTGCCAGGCATTCGGCTGACCAAGTTCCATCACCAGCACCTCATAGGGTCCGCAGATCATCACCAGGAGTGAATGTGGAACCACAAGTAAGTTCCTAAGCATTGCTAGGAGAGATCACAAAACCAAAATATAAATTAAATAAAGCCTACCCGATCACTTAAAATTTCTAATCACTGAACTTGATTTTTAAATTATGAAAGGATATTTCAATCCATCAAACTCATTTTATAATTCTTATATTAAGTATAATAATATTTCACATAAAATATATAGTCCTATACTTACTCTCTAGTGAAACCGTACATATACACATTCTATTTCTCAAAATAAATATTGCCCCTAAAATGAGAGCCTACTTTGAAATCTGTTTCCCAGACATTTTAAGGGCATTTATCCTAAACCAGCTCAGTAAAATTTCTCATCTTTTGACTGGTGAGTACATTACTTGAAGTATATTTAGATGTGTTATATTAAGAAACAAAGCAAGGAGCTGGGGATGGAGCTCAGAGGAAAAACATTTGTCTTGCACATGTGAGGCCTTGGGAACAAAGGGGAGAAAGAAGGGAGGAAGGGAAGGAAGGAAAGGATGGGATGAAGAGAAGGTAGACATAAAGGCAGGCAGGCAAGAGAATATACAGTATCAAATGATAAACCACCCTTGGACTTTGAGGTTACCAAGCGGTGGAACTCAGGGTGCAGGCAGGCAGGAGAGGAAGAGGGGGCACAGAAGAGACACAACACAAGGACACTGGGATAGGGCCTTTGGCACTTTGGCAGTAATGAAGGCACAGTAACTCTGCATCGAAACCACAACTGCATTACAATAATATTGTAACCATATAACCATACCTGACCTTTTTTTAATTAAAAACATAAGAATACATAAAATGTATTAGAAACTGCTTATTTCCAAATGACCACCAGGGAAGGGAAGGCTGCTGGGTCCTCGGCTTCTGAATTCCTAATTACTACCACCCAAGAAGCTTCAGTCTCCATCTTTCCATTTGAATTTTATCCGTCAATGGGATGTGAATATAAATTTATAAATAATCTTTATAAATTTCTCAGAAAGCTACAAAATTGTTATGATCAGTCACTTTACCTCACCGACGTACTTCTGTACAAGTTCCGATCCAATAACGCGGATGAAGCAAGCGTCCGTCCGATTAGCAACGGCCCGAGCACAGAGGGTCTTGCCTGTGCCTGGCGGCCCAAACAGCAGCACGCCCTTGGGGGGCTCAATGCCAAGGTTCACAAACCTCTCAGGCTGCAGTGAAGACACAATGCTGATACTTAACACTGATGGATAATGGGGGAAATACTTGTACATCAATAGGTTTAAGCCAGAATGCTTAGTTCCACAATCTATTACTTGACCTAAGTAAGACTTTCACTTACGAGAAAGATCAAAACTAGGTCCACGCCAGGGAGATGACTCAAAGGGCTGGAGCGCATCCCATGCACCTGAGAGCCCCAGGTTCAGTGGCTGGGAGTGGCCCCGAGTACTGATGGGTGTAGACCACAGTAAAAAAAATTAAGGTGGGCCAGAACACTAGTACAGCAGGTAAGGGTTTGCCCTGCATGCAGCAAATCCGGGTTCGATCCCCAGTACCACGTGTGGTCCCCCAGCACCACCAGACTGCAGAGACAGAAGTAAGCCCTAAGCACCACTGGGTGTGGCTTAAGCACCAAGGAAAGAAAAGGAATAAACAACTGGACTGATAGCAAGACAAAAGACTGCCTGAATTTGTTTTAAAAAGGCTTCTATTCTACAATCTATATTTAACAAAAAAGTTTCCTCTAGTTTTTTAAAAAAAAGAGAACATGAGAGTTGGGACCAGAGAAATAGTACAGAGGGTAGGGCACTTGCCTTTCTCAAGGCAGACCTGGGCTCAACCTCCAGCAACCCGTATGGTTCCCTACGCCCAAGCAGGAGTAATCCCTGAATGCAGACCTCCACCTGAGCATCACCAGGTGTGATCAAAAACAAACAAAATAAAATGCCAGATTCACTTACATGGAGTAGTGGAGTTTCCACAACTTCTCGAAGTTTTTCAATCTGTTCCTTACAGCCACCCACATCACTGTATGTGACATCAGGTTTTTCCTCTACCTAACAAAGACAAAATGTACAACCACAGGTTTAGAATACTGACTCCAATGATCTGGCAAGCAGAATAAGCCCCACATCCTAAAAGAAAAATAGACATACAGCACTTAAGAATCTGAATTAAAAACAAAATACATTGTCCATACATTAGAATGTGCAGTTACTAGAACTATTTGCTATATGTTATTATATTACAGGTAAATTAATAAAGACTAATAAAAGCTTCCCATATGAAAACTTACTTTAAAAAATGGCTATTTATCAGTACATAATCACATATTAACAGCTTAATAACTGAAGTTCAAAAAAATTGTTGAGCACCAGGGCAACAATACAGTGGGTCAGATGTTTGCCTTAAAAGCAGCTGACCTGGGTTACCCAGCACCTCATAAGGTCCCCCAAGCCTGCCAGGAGTAATCCCTGAGTGCAGAACCAGGATTAAGTCCTGAGTACCACCAGGTATGGTCCCCAAACAAACAAACACGTTGAGTCAACATAATTATACTATAATAATGCTATGCCACTCACTTTCCCTTCTGTACTTTCTTACCTGCATCATGGTAACTGTTGGGTCAATCTTAGGAGGCAATGGAATATGAATTTGATACTTATTTCTGTCCACACTAAAAAGATAAAAAAAGATACTTAGTAACACAATCCTTAAGTGTTAAGTAATTAATCCTTTTAAATTAATTAATTAATCCTTAAGTAATCCTCAAAATGCTTAGTCCTTAGTGTTTAGTCCTTTATTTTTAAAAGTATTCGTCAGGCAACAGAGAAACACGGAGACACAGAGTCTCTATAAATTTGTAAAAAGAAAAAGCCAGTGAGTAAAACCTTGACCACGGGGAAGCAGAGAATTTTTACCTGGGTTACAATGTATTCTATAGGCATTAACTCACTCAATTCTCTAAAAAAGCAAATGCATCCTTCCCTACACCCACCGCATTATCATAAATGGACTAACAACGTTCACATTGAAATTTTGCACTTATTTTATGCCATTTGAAGTATTTCATAAAACACTATAGGAGGGTGGAAGTAAGCGGGGAGAGGGTAGGGAGCCAATGCAGAAAGGACATCAACTATAGTATTCCAACTATATTATCCCTGGTTCAGCACTCAGTTCCCTCATCCAAAAGAAAGACAAGCAGGTGAATATTATATGGATCTTTAATGAAAGCACTTTAAGTAAAAATCTTACCCAACTCTCATTCCTTCTTCAATGTCAGTAGGTGCTACCTGATCACTGAGGTCCACCACGAACTTGGCAAACTGCTTCACATTGATAATGTATTTTGGGTCTTCCGAATCAGCATTAATTATCTTTGTACACCTAATGCAGCAAAAGGCTTGATTAGAGTAAAGAATCCAAACCTCTAATACAAATTCAAGTAATTAGAGTCTCTCTTGGGCTGTAGTTCACTCATAAGCAGGTGTAAATGAGAACCTTAGGAATGGATACACTATTAAAGATCCTTTTTGATAGAGTATGTTCAATCCCAAGGGTCATTCAACTTTAATGAAGCCATGAAATTTTTAAAAGATATATTCCCCCGGAAAGTTGAATCAAAACCTTCTTCATTGACAAACTCCCATTTTCGTAATTTGATGCCTGGACCAGAGCAATAATGCAGCAGGTAGGGCACTTGCTTGCAAGAGGCCAGTCCAGGTTCA